CTTGGTTGAGCGGGAAGCAGGTATCCGATCTAAATATAACAATGAATTTGACACCGTTATTCAAAAACTCGAAAAGAAAAACGCGAAGAGCGAGCGGAGGGGGAGGGAGTTGAGCGCACGCGGATAGCAAATAATTAAGAGAATAGGAAAAAAATAAATAAAAGGTTTTCCTTTCATGACGTACGAATTCAAACCAGCTGAATTTCATGCATCTGTTATACGAGGACAAAATTTTGTCTCCGCAACAGAACTTTTTCGCCAAAACGGACATGTCACACGAGGACAACTGTCGCTGCAACATGTGTGTGTACCGACCTTTAAACTCCACTCTATTCTGCAACAGAAGGGGTTATTATCATTCGTCACCCCTTCAACGTTGGGGGTGTGCATGGTTTCTAAGCAGAAGTTAACCAGCAACACAACAAGAAACTGGCGAAGTTACCTGCACCATGGACGTAGTTAAGAGTAGGTAGCTCGGAATGACAGGATCTCAGTTTTATTGTAATCCGACAGCTATTTTAATATAAGACGAATTGGTAATATTTATCTTTGCAGAGTTTTATTCAAAAGCACTTTTTCTTCTCTTATAATTTGCTTTTTTTAAAATTTACTCTTGTGCTGAGCGCTTGATATATTTCCTTGCCATAAGTGTTTTGCAGCAATGATCGAGTTGATGAACGGCACGTTTATTGGCGTCAAAGATTGCTTCAGAGGGGACTACTGTAACAGCTGCAGGGTCTGTGCCAATATCTCGGGAGGTCCTGGTCTTTCTTTCAAACGCTCCGAAGTAAGCTGCTGTACTCAAGATTCGTGTAATCAACACCTTCCCTCTGCTCGGCCGCCATCTCCCACAGTCCCAGCGACGTCCAGCATCTCAGACCTCGACAACCACCAACTACTAAAGCTAAAGACATAGGTCCAACTGCTGCCGGCATTAACGTGAAGGCTGTGTATTATCTGCCCGTCTGTTTGCTTGTTGTAATTCAGTTAATGAGTTACGTTCTCAGATGTAGACATAATTCTCTTATAACCTG